GGTTTGCAGGTGGACAAACCTGAGTACCAATGGGAGCTCTTCCCCTCAGTCGGTTCCCTCACGGAGCCTCAGTTTCCGGGCTGTGAAAAAGGAACAGGGACGCCCAGCACGTGACATCGCGGTGAGAATGAAGGAAAGCGATGCATACAAAGTGACCGCCTTGGGCAATATTATAAACACCTCCACAGCGAGGACATCAACAAGCCACCCCCCCCCCCTTTGGAAAAGTTATTTTTAATTACGGTAAAATACCAATTTACCCTCTTAACCACTTTTTAAGTGTGTGCACTTCAGCAGTGGTAAGTAAGTTCACACTGCTGTGCAGTCAATCTCCAGAACTTTCTTTATCTTGCAAAACTGAAACTCAATACCCATGAATAACCATTCCCCGTTTCCCCTCCCCCAGGTTCTCAGTCACCGCCATTTTACTTTCTGTTTCTGTGAACTTGACCACTTCAGTTTCCTCCCTAAGTGGAGCCACGCAGTGTCTGTCCTTTTGCATTTGGCTTATTTCACTCAGCACAGCGCCCTGCAGGCTCGTCCATGGAGCATGTGTCAGACCTCCATTCCTTTTGAAGGCTGAGTAATATCTCATTGCATGGATAGATCAGATTTTTATTCATCTTCAGTGGACATTTAGATGGACATTCCCCCTGTTGGTGGAATTGGAGGTAACACTGCAATGACCATGCGTGTGCAAATATCTCTCTAAGACCCTGCTTTAATTCTTTTGGATGTGTGCCTAGAAATGGAATGTATGCTGGATCATATGGGAGTTTTATTTTATTATTTTTTTTTAGGACCTTCCATACTGTTCTCCAGTTGCATCACTTTACAATCCCACCATTCACCCTAGCTGGTTTGGCTCAGTGGATAGAGTGTCGGCCTGCAGCCTGAAAGTTCCCAGGTTCGACTCCGGTCAAGGGCACATGCCTGGGTTGCAGGTTTGATCTCCAGTAAGGGGTGCCCAGGAGGCAGCCGATCAATGGTTCTCTCTCATCATTGATGTTTCTATCTCTCCCTCTCTGATATCAATGAAAATATATATATATTTAAAAAAAAGAGTAGCCATCCTCATGGGGTGAGGTAAACGGGTCTCTTCTTGCAACACTTTTGAAATTTCTTCTCCCCACCCCAGCCATGCTTCTAATGAGTCTGGTTGCGGGATTGACCCAGCATTGGTCAAAGGACAGTGTGCTCTGTGATCTTGAGAGCCGAGCCAAGTTGGGCAGGATGCCAATGCTTTCGACCAGCTGAGAGCTGTCCTCCAGGGCCCGTGGCTGGAGAAGGGCACGCGTGCGGTGCCGAGCAGGCCACGACTGCCGCTATATTTGCTTTGGCTGAAAAGATGCCACCAAGGAAACAAGGCGCCCGCCAGGGTGGCGGATGCCCTGCCACCCTTCTCGGTGGCCTCTCGCCGCTGTCATCTACTCCTGACATCTCTCCCAAGGTGACCTTTGGTGAAGACCCTGTTGGGAACTTGAAGCCAGGTTGTTGGGCTCTGTTGAAGGGACTTGGGGGCAAGGCCTCGAGATGTGATTGACGGCCTAGGACAGAGGTGGCCTGCACTGGGCGCTGCACAGCCACAGGAGGTCTCTGCACTTGCGAGGCTGGGTTGAAAGCTCCAGTGCTGCCCAGGAGAAAGAGACGGGCAAGAGAAAATTCCAGGCAGGGGGCTCCACAGAAAGAGAACACCAGAAGGCTGTTAGGGGTGCAGTTGACCAGCCCTCACAGTGTTCCCCCAAAAGAGACAGTGGGTGTTGTGGTTACATCACAGCTTGTATAGTCAGAAGACTCAGGTCAAAACCTGATCAGCCTCCACCGCTGTGTGGTCTTGAGCAAGCGATGGAAAATGGGAACAAAAACACAACCTCAATGAATTGTCGTGAATCAGTACTGTTTATCAAACAGCTGTTGTTCACTAAGCACCCCTTGTAGGCACGCAGTATGATACAGTGGTCAAGAGCGAAGGCTCTCGGGTTTGACAGGCCTTGCTTAAAAACCCAGATCTGCTATTTGTTAACTGCGGGACCACAGAAAAGGCTATTACCCTCCCTGCTCATATCCTATATCATAAAAGGCTAATATGCAAATTGTTCCCTCAACCGGGAGTTCAATCAGGGGGTGGGGATGGCCAGCCAGCCTCCCGCGTCCTCTCCCCCTGGTCAGCCCGGTCCGATAGGCCCCGATTGGAGGTGGCCAAGTGGACTCCTCCCCTGCACAAATTCATGCACTGGGCCTCTAGAGTATATATATAATTTTAGAGAGGGAGAGAGAGAGAAAAATATCAATGGTGAAAGAGAATCATTGATCGGCTGCCTCCTGTGTGCCCCACACTGGGGATCAAGCCCACAACTGGGGCATAGAACTGTGACCTCTTGGTTCATAGGTTGATGCTCAACCACTGAGCCAGGCCGGCCGGGCAATCTGCTCATATTTAAAATGGGGATGATAAATGGGAATGATAATGCCTGTCACCCCAGGCTGACACAGGCATTGGTGAGGTCTCACACAGTGCTTTAATGCAACAAATGTTCATGATATGCCTACTATGTGCCAGAACTGTGCCAGGGGCAGGAGATCAAAGTGAATTTGACCAACCCTGCCTTCAGGAAGTCATCTGTAATGGACAAGGAACTTCAATATTGAGGTGGGGAAGGCTAGAGAGCAGAGTTAGGAGGCCTGGGGCAGCATTTGCAAAGTGCCTTTACATAAAATAAAGGCGTGCGGAGCTGATGGCGAGCGGGCGCTGCTCCCAGCCCCCTCTTGATGTCATCCCTATGTTCTGGACTCCTGTGGCTCTTGGGCTTGAGCGGAACCTGCCTTCTGCCAGTGCCGTCTTCCCAGAGCAGATGTGGGTGGGAGGCGGCATCCTGAGGCTTGGGGCCCATCCTGGTGTCTACGCCAGCTCAGCCCAAGGAGAGGCTCCAGGCAGCTCGCGAGGGGACTGGTCTGGAGTGACGCTGCCAGGAGACCGAGGGCTGCAGGGCTGGGCTGTGGCCCTGGAAGAGCACTGGCCTGGCGTCTGGGCCCAGGAGAGAGGGCAGTCGTCCTGCCCAAAGGCCTCCAAGAGACCCACCGCTGACCCTCACGCCCTCACTTTCCCTGGAAGACTGCCCCAGGCACATTTTCCCGCCTCCTATCTGGCTCAGAGCTCTTGGGAGCAGGCACGTTGGCAGGGGTTACTTTCACCCCCACCTCCCCACGGTCAGTCCAGCACGTGCCCGCTGCCTGTGTGCGGTCACATTCCTATGCGCCCAGGCTCACAGCCTCCAACCCCAGGAGGGAGCCTGCTCCTGTCCCCAGAGACGCGTGGGAGCCGGACAGGGCAACGCAGTCGGAGCAGGAGAGGAGAAGAGCTGGGTGGGCGCCCTGGCCGAGGCCAAAGGACGCAGGACTGGCCCTGGGGGTGTCACTGCCCCCAGCAGCTGCACCTCAGAGCGCCTGCCTGGGCCAGCTCTCCCTCCCTCGTCCAGAGGGAGGCTTCTCGAACCAGCCACCAGCTTCTCCTCCAAGCCTGTCACCATGTCCACACACAGCAGGGTCTGTGGGGGTGGCGGCTTTTCCCAGACATGTACTTAAGTGAGGAGAGAAAACAAGGCGAGTGGCCAGGGATTTGCAAGATCAGTAGGCAGGAACGCACCCCAGGAAGGAGGCCAAGAATAAGACGGCGAGGGTCACCCTCCTCTGCTGAGCAGGGACGCCCACGGGGCGCTGAACTTGCTATAATGGCACTTTTGTTTGAGGGCGGCCCTTGATCCCAGGGCATCGGGCTCCTGGTCAGAAGGCAGCAGAGCCCTGATTGTGGGCAGTGAGTAACGGTGACTCAGGGAAATTTGCAAGGACGCAGGGAACACCCTGAGTCACGGGGACATGCCCTGCTTCCCCCTGCTGGCCAGGGAGCCAGGAGCCCTGGCCCCCACCGGGAAGGAGAAATTCCTGAAGCTTTCCCTGGAACTTCGGCAGAATTCCACGGCATCTTTCAGAGGAAGCATTCGGCTTTGGGTGTT